CCCCAAAACCCCAAAACCCCAAAACCCCAACACCGAAAAATAGTAATAGAAGATTGAAAATGGAAGATTTTAAAGTAAATAATTTTCTTAAAAACGATCTCCAACATCACACCAGAATTCATCACCAAATTCATACTTTTTTGTCTTAAAAACGATATTTTCCAGACCGTACTCCTCCTTATATTCCTCAGCAAACTCCAATGCCTCTTTATTATGATCAACCACAACTTCTTCAAGGGAGGGATAAATAATTGGCTCAAAAAGAAGCTCAAAAATGCTTGGAATAATCTTCTGGCTCCATTCTCCAGCCTGAAGATTATCCTCTCAATGCCAGAATACTAATTTTCTTAACTCAAGAGAGCCCTTGACTGGATATCTGTTGATAATTTCATCAAAAATTCAATTTTTAAACTCAATTTCGAATCATCTAATTCACTCTCTGAGAAGAAGCACTAGATGTTTTTCAGCGAGCTTTCATCCACAAAGCTCGAAAGCGCTATATATTTAAGATATTTTGAAATACAATGAGGCATTGGAGCTCAGGCGGACTGCAACCTGCTTAAACAATTTCATTGGGACTACCTCACCAGGTTTACTAAAACGAATTCTGACTGTTCCCTCTCATAATGGGTAAAAATAACTGACTAAGTCTGTCAATCTCTTTTTGCTGCGATATTTAGCTGGATAAATTATGATGTTTTTAGACACAAAACGGCCTGAAACTTGAACTTTTGCAATATTTTGTTCTAGCTTGTAAACTCCTGTCTAAATTCTTGGGTTAGTTAGCAGCTTTATTATCACAGAGCTTAAGGAATTGATAACTTACCAGTGTGGTAGGAATCATATTAAACACAATTAATTTCATGTCCTCTGGGATTAACCCAAGTGTTTTGTAAATTTAAAAATCACTATATGGTTTTTCCTTTGGTCAGCTCTAATTAAAGAAAGTCCATCCATTTTGAACAATTATATTTATTACTTAATAGAGCTGACCAAAATAAATATTTCCTTACTGTAAGTTTAAATATTCTTATGTGGGAAACCCTATTGAGTCTTAAAATAGCAATTGAAGTTATAATAAACTTTTTCGTAGAAAAATGGTACTCTCTTTATGCAAAATAATCTGCATAGGATAGTTATTACTTCCAATAAGTCTTATACTCAGTTTCCAGCAAAAATAACCGACTTTAGAGAAATGATAACATTGTGAACTTTCCCTACTAAACTCTAATATAACAGAAACCTTTAATCTCTTCTTTGACTCCTATCATAACCAATTGGTTCAATATTTTATTGGCCTGTGTCTCTCGGTCATTCCATTTATTCTATTTTTCATGTTCGAAGGAAGTCATTCTTGATGGCTAACAAATTTATCCTCGAGTTCTTAAAAACTTTTATCGATATTGAAAACTCTAAGCTATAATGGAATATATTAGGACAGTTTAAAGTCATAAATTTGAGCTGGAATAGTGGTGTCCATATTAATGGATGGAATAAATACTTTACTCAGAGAAATTGTAAACAATTTGACAATTTCATAAAGAGCTTCAACCTTTCTGCGAAACTGTGTCTGAATCAAGGAGAGGTCTGATAAGTCAGTCCAGGATTAGCAATATTAAATGAAATATTTCACACCTTATTCCTATTACTAGTTATTTTTGGGAATAAATGTGAATACCTAATACTCCAATATTTTCAGACTTTTCAACACAAATAATTTAGGATGGGGTTTTGGGGTTTTGGGGTTTTGGGGTTTTGGGG